AGAGAGAGAGAGGAGAGAGAGAGAGAGAGAGAGAGAGAGAGAGAGAGAAGAGAGAGAGAGAGAGAAGAGAGAGATATAGAGAGAGAGAGAGAGAGAGAGGAGAGAGAGAGAGAGAGAGAGAGAGAGAGAGAGAGAGAGAGAGAGAGAGAGAGAGAAAGAAAGAGAAAAGAGAGAGAGAAGAGAGAGAGAGAGAGAGAGAGAGAGAGAGAGAGAGAAGAGAGAGAGAGAGAGAGAGAGAGGAGAGAGAGAGAGAGAGAGAGAGAGAAAGGGAGAGAGAGAGAGAAGAGAAGAGAGAGAGAGAGAGAGGAGAGAGAGAGAGAGAGAGAGAGAGAGAGAGAGATAGAGAGAGAGAGAGAGAGAGAGAGAAGAGAGAAGAGAGAGAGAGAGAGGAGAGAGAGAGAGAGAGAGAGAGAGAGAGAGAGAGAGAGAGAGGAGAGAGAGAGAGAGAGAAGAGAGAGAGAGAGAGGGAGAGAGAGAGGAGAGAGGAGGAGAGAGAGAGAGAGAGAGAGAGAGAGAGAGAGAGAGAGAGAGAGAGAGAGAGAGAGAGAGAGAGAGAGAGAGAGATTAGGGGTTAGGGGACGGCGGCGGAAGGTGGCGAAGTTCAGTTCAACATTACCACTAGCTTCACTCTTTAACTCATCATGACATAAATTTTAGCTGTCTAATGCGGCCATCAAATTAGCTCGAATTAATTGGGGTGGTGCAAGATGCACCTGGGATGGAGGGAACTGCAATTTGACACGCGCCCGGGTGGCCGGCTAGATTCCCTTCGATTGGGTGGGGGTCAATTTGACCCCAATGAGACCTCGGGAACTAAGAAAGCTAGAGACACCAAATTCATAAGGTGTGTTGACATGTACATAAACTCACTTAGGTCAAAATTTGAGGTTCCTAGACATGAACTTTTGGTCAAACAAGGTCAAACAAGGTCAAATTCCAGGGTGTCTTTAAAGTGCCTCCAGAACCCAAATAACTGTTTCTAGGCAAAAGGCCACATTTGATTACGCTAGGCAGTATGTTCCTAAAAACAAAATATTCGCCTGGGTCATTTTAGGTCAATGACCTATTCTGACCTCTAAGAAGCCATGTAAGATGTATAATACGGTTCCTGCCATCAATAAATTCGAAATGGACACCAGAAACTAACCCATACAGCAAGCCCTAGAATAATAAAACAGGTTGGTTTTGACCTTGGTCTGACCTTAATACCTGACCTTAGGTCAACATAATCTGCTCACTCAATATTTATGTTGCCTGAGAAAGTATCTCAGAGATGTACGGCTTCGTCTAGCACTCCATTGTTGTATCAGATTGAATGATTCCCCAGAAATTGACCGCTGAAGTCATGGCCTGGTTTTGACCTGCTATAGGTCAGCGACCTTACAAGGTACATCCAAATTGTTTATGTCAAGCGATCTGCTGTTTAATTGTCTACAGCTATGCAAAATTTGGCGCGGCTACGCCGCGCTGTTCGGAAACTACTCCGGAAAAACCTTCGGGGGGGGGGTCAATTTGACCCCCCACCCGAGCGCGTGTTAAGAAAAATGCCCAATGCAGTTCAAGGGGCAAATTTGTTGTGCTCCCATTTCATCCTTCACCCTGCGACGTTTCTGTCGACAACTTCGCCCGACGCACTTGAGCGCGCCTCTGACGTCAGCTGACGGACGCGACGAGTCAGCTGGCTTGTGGAATACGGCGGGCAGGCACCCGGTATGTGAATGCGTGCATAAAGTAAAGCGGATTCCAGAGAGAATGATGCACCAGCTGGAGACGCTTTGACGTAGTCATTTTGATTAGGACCTTGTTACCGGCACCCGGCCCAATGTTGTCCGATAGCATCATGTTAAACCGCAGGCCGGATGGGGCTCAAAATTACTCATTCAGATTCATACCGCAAATCATCCTCGGGAACCAAATTTCAGCAAAATTTTAGAGCTGCTGGTGCATCATTTTGTGTTCTGATGATCAATAGGTCCCGGACACTCCCCACAGAAGTACCATCCACCACCTACGTTGATGCCCTCCATGCAACGCCACAGGCCTTATGTTCACCATTCCCAGAAAGTGGGGTGCACCCACGCTCCCACCCCCTCGCTCCCACGCCTACGCTGCTCACGAACTTTGAGTACATATTTTTGCCCAACCAACTTAATCCGCTTCGAACATGTATGTGCGTTCTATTCCTTACGAACAATAACATAAGTTCTCTATACACACGACCTTTTTACACCAACATTTACCCTGACGAACTTTTGTCAACACGAGCATTTTTCTTGCGTGCTTCATACCATACGTACACTTGCTTACGAGCAATTGGGTACGTGCTTTATGCATTCGCACTTTTCCCACACGTATCCTTGCGCTGCAACCGCTCCGTTCTGTGGCGTGATAGAGAGCTGTTCATAGCGTGTGGAGCAGATAAAGAAGTGTTGCTGTCACATCTAAGTTTAGTCTCTCAGTTCTTGGCACCCTGCCAACGACATGCTGATCGATTGATTCAGTTCGTGGGATGATTCAGCCAAACATCAACTCACTGATCTGCGTTCTAGCTGACTGAAAACATAGCCTGATTTGTTGCAGACATTTTATGCCAGGCGTGTAGCATCTCCTTGTCCCTATGATAATAGAGAAAATTTATGGGAGCTTATAATGTCGTACTTTGATAAGCCTACCCTACTCACATAATTGCAGTGAAACAGATTTACCGTATCTTACACTCATGATGTGATTGTGAACTCGCGAGCTGGCCTATAGTCTGTCCGTAATACAGTGCCGCGCATTGGTTAGGGCTATTCAAAAACCTGTTCTGTTTTTAGCTGGCGGCTGGCTCTTAGTGATGGCTGCCGTACTTTCAGCGAAGCGGCGCTGTTCACACCTTCCAAAAATTATCTAACTTTGAGTTTTATAGAGATAATTTGTTCATCCTAAATTTTTGGCAGCTCAAGTGTGTTTCCCAACGATCCGTATAGTCAAAGTAGGTCTGGCGTCTTTACTGCGGATTTCTTTTTAGCATGTCTAGGTCGTTCTCTCCATTTAGGCGGATTCAGAGGGGGCGACGGCGAGATTCGAGCGTGATTTGCATCAACGGCAAGGCCGATCAAGGCAGTCTTGATCTTCTTGAAGCTTTTAAACTGAACTGCACGTCGTGATCATCATTCAGTCAGTCAAAGTGTTTTATTCTTACGAAAACATTCACAAAAGCGATGGATATAACAATATGAAATAAATATGGCACACCATCTGCATTCGTCACATAAGATGACGAAGCAAAGAGAGCGACACTTAATCCCTTTCCCACACCACACATGGCATCACACCTTTGTCGGAGGACAAGTCACTTGGCAGCTCCATGAATGTGTAAGGTTGGAACATTGCGGTGCGGCGAAGCCGCTGGAAACTGTTGCATCTTTCAAAGTCAAAATTTTATGGTACCATGTAGAGCTGACATTATCGGCAGTATCTCAAATATATGCAGGGCGGTTGGAAGTCCAAAATGGCCAAAGGTGGGAAATATATTCGGCTTCTAGCCGTTATAAGTTTTTTAGCATCAAAGCTGGTGAAAGCCAAAAGCCAAGTGTATTTTCGTGTCTCGATCATTTTGAACTTCCGACCATAGAGCTAATTGTTACCACTTAACTGGATCAAAACGCCAATATTAGAACTGATCCCCGCAAAAATGGCGTTGTCAACACTGCAACTGCCAAACCACGTTCTTTGGCCAGGCGAAAGCATGACGAGGGGTTTAAAGTCGCTTGCCCACAGACCTGCTGAAGACAGACCTGGCCTCGAACTGAGACGTAAGCTGGAGCCGCTATTTCGAAGCGCACTCCCGGCTGGCGCACCAAGGCCGTACCCTGGTGAGGACCAGGACATCAGTGACGGTGAAATGCAACTTTTTGTGCCCCTTCCCTAATCCCAATAGCCGACAAACCATTTCCACAACCTCCCGTTCTTTTGTACTGAGCACGACGGTTCGCTCGCTTACAAACAGTGGTATTCAGCCGCTGGAATACACAACGATATACATACACATGTCCTCGCAGCGAGCAAGGCTACACTAGCTCTACACACACGGCTGGCAATCCGCTTCGGAACGCGCGCAGGAAAGATACGGATGACTGGCGTGCCTACGGCGGCGAGCCAGCGCCATGGAGATTCAGCGGGCTGCGTTAAGGCTGCTGGTTAGTGGGCACTCTCCGGAGCGAGTTTACTCAGGTGACCCCGAGCTCCAGAGACCAGCTGCATGCACGAGGTCCGATCACGCGCGTCCTTGTTATTGTTATCGGGGGCGACTGTATCTCATTGCTGACGAGGAATTACGACCTACCTGGTGGCAGATGTGCTTAAGACGCTTGGGACATCAAAAAGGGAGCTAATCTGGTGGTTTCCCGTGTTGCGTTCTTGCACATTGGCCACACCTGGACCATCCAGATAACACACACAGTAGATCTCGCTGAATCGCGCTTGTTGTGGACAACGAATGGAATATTCGCCGATACGCACTTTTCACGTCTTAATGTGACAAAGATGCTTATCATAAACACGAAGAATGGTGACACGTCAAATCACGTACACCTCAATGTGCGTAGCTGGATGCAATGGCGGCAGTGCATTATGGATCAGTACTGTGCGTATGGCCCTGGAGATCAGCTGTGCAGTGTTGGCGTAGTACAAAACAGAATCATATTGCCCGCATAACATCACATGCACGTGCACGTGGGAGTGCCCACTCCCGGGGTGGTGCGCATGTCCTCAATGCCACTTAAAAAATAACACAACACATAACACAACCATGAACCATCTACAACAGCTGACGTGCGCCACGCACTCATGATAGCACCAGTGAGCATTCTCCTGCGTCGAATGGCCACGTGAAGCCCACGCTGCCCACCAATCGCAGCAAACTACCTCGTAAATCTATCCGACAACGAGCGAAAAAGACAGCCCGCCATTACTTCACAACCGCGCCAGCCCGCTGGCTTCCGCAGGCCGTAACGTGTTCACAGAGTCATGGAGCGTTTCCTGCCGGTGCCGGGCGCCGCCGCACCCGCGCACCGCTCACCCCCCGGCGCCTGGCGCGCGCTGCTCTCGCCGCAGAAGCGCTGGCGCGCGACGCGCGTCTCCAGCTCGGCACCGCCGCGCCGCCGGTCGAGCTCCAGCAGCGACGCGCTGCGCGTGGCGGCGGCAACGCGACCACGCTGCTCCAGCGGCAGACTGCGCCGGCGGCCAGCCAGACGGCGGCGCGGCCGCGCGCCACCCGCCGCCGGCCGCGGGGCGTCGGCCGAGCGCGACCGCCTCAGGCGACGTCGCTGCTGGCGCGGAGGGCCGACCCGGCGCGCGCACGCGCCGCTGCCCCACAGCGGCGCGCCGTCTTCGGCCCGGCTGGAGGGTGAGGTGCCGCTAGTCGTCGCCTGGCTGCTGGTCGCCACCTGACTGACGAGCGAGTCGGTGTGCTGGAGTTGCCGGGACAGAGGGCTGAAGCTGCGCGTGGACAGGGTGTGGCCGGTGATGGTGGTGATGGCCGTGCTCTGCCGCACCTGCCAGCTCACCGGCCGCTTCAAGATGCGCTTCAGCGGCGGTATCACCTCCGTCAGGAAGATGATGTACGCCTTGCGGTAAACGCCGTTGCTGACGACGTAGATGATGTTGTTGCAGCAGTACTGCAGCCAGTAGATGCAATAGCAGATGATGGAGACGTACGGCCGCTTGTTGTACGGGTCGGCGACGTTCACCACCGTGATGGGCAGCACACAGATGCAATAGGTGACAAAGACGACGAATATCATGCGGGATGTCTTGTCCTCTCGCGTTTTCAGCAGGGCTTCCACGTGTTCCATCCGCTGGCTGGAACGATGCGCACATGGCCGTGAGTTTCATAAAACATTCCTGCGCTTTCATGCACACGCGTTAGATGACTCTAGGAAAGCATTTCGTAAGGACGGTGCACCTTGCAGCTGGAACCAGGGTGGTCTGCACGTTCTTTTTGGAAATGGTTGTTTGTAAAATAAGTGGGTTTAGCTAAACAGCCAAAAATCGCGTGAGGCCTAGCAGACTCACAGAATCGAGGAAGATGAAACAAATTGCACAAGGAATGAAACAATAAAGTGGAGCACGCGTCGCACATGTCAAATTTGCAACAAACACATATTATCTATGCTGAGTCTCATGCACAACAGCGAAATTGAAATGTTAACCCATTTGGTGGGTACTGTTGGCACGACTGTAGCGCTGGCCGGCTTCCAAGCTGACGCAATGGTAAGCAGGAGAGGCTGGAGTTGTTGTGCAATAGAAGCCTTATAATAGCAATCGTAGCGTACGTTGCATTATGTAACGGCCGGCTTTCCTCGGTGGGCTTCCTGTGTAGTTGGTGAGTTAGCATTAAACGGCTGCCATCTGTTTCAGTCAGGTAAGACGCGTTGCCGCCCTTGTGGACCGTGACAGCACAGAGTGTGGGCCCAGTTTGTGGACAGTACACCAATGTTTGGTTTTCAAATTCACTCTGCCTTCGAATGCATTCTGCTTTCAAATGCATTCTGTCTATGTTTTTTGTGGGGTTAATGCATTGCTGTTAGTCGTTGCAACGCCCATGAATTCCTGCACATGTAGCTTCCCATTCCACTAGATGCCACCCTCTGTTGAAAGTGGGGTCCGAGGAAGCTCACTAGGATGCGAGCCAAACCTGCAAATCCGTCGCTCTGCGGACAGCTGTCCACATCTTTCGGCCACAAAAAATATCTTACACCTCAGTCCGCTAAAGCGCCAGCAAGCACTCACCCCAGGTTTTGTCCTTCTGCAGTGCTCCTTGCCTAGGCTCAGTATGGTAAGCCCAAGCGAGTCCCATGCGGCCAGTGACTCCTCACTGACCCTCGCGCGGCACTCTTGCGCACGGACACCCCTCCACCAGGAGCTCAGCCGGTGCTCGCGCGCGCGCCACTCACTGTTTGGAGCTCCGCAGAATGGTGCGGCCCGACTGCTTGACCTTGACGAAGATCAGCGAGTACGAGACGAGGATGACCGCGCACGGGATCGACCACGAGATGAGGAACCAGTCGGTGCGCGGCTGACCATTGCCGTCCTTCAGGAAGTCGCACTTGCGCGTCAGGTTGTTCCACCCGTATTCGCCGTACACCTGAGGCGAGGCCAGCGCGCGGGGGTGAGGCTCTGGCGGTGCGGTGACGCCGTCCTCCGCTGGGAAACGCCGCATTGCGACCTTATGAGACGACGCCGTCTAACACGGACGAATGGCGCCTGACGTGGGCCTAATGGTGTAACGAAAGGTCAGTCGGTCGTCCTTGTGAGTGGTTATGGCGGAGGGTGCATGCCTGCAGAGCGGGGGGGGGGGGGAGGGGGAGGGCCCGGGTCAGGCCGTGCGTCGCGCGGAAAGTCCCGACCAGTGGTGCCGTGTCACACCCCCGAGCGGAGGTCAGGGCCGAGCCTGCGCGCGAGAGTCGGCGGGCAACCGTCCAGCGGGTGTTGGACGTCAAACGTTACATGGAACTCGCTTGTCTCCATCCGGCGCACGCCGTCCTCAACGCGTCGAACATCGTTTAAGGCCTGTCACCCGACACGCGGAGTACGTCACCGGTTATCCGTCACGCGGGGTACGTCACCGGTTACCCGTCTCGCGGGGTACGTCACCGGTTACCCGTCTCGCGGGGTACGTCACCGGTTATCCGTCACGCGGAGTACGTCACCGGTTACCCGTCTCGCGGAGTACGTCACCGGTTATCCGTCTCGCGGGGTACGTCACCGGTTATCCGTCTCGCGGGGTACGTCACCGGTTATCCGTCTCGCGGAGTACGTCACCGGTTATCCGTCACGCGGAGTACGTCACCGGTTACCCGTCACGCGGAGTACGTCACCGGTTACCCGTCACGCGGAGTACGTCACCGGTTACCCGTCACGCGGAATACGTCACCGGTTACCCGTCACGCGGAGTACGTCACCGGTTACCCGTCACGTGGAGTACGTCACAAGCTACCTGTCATCTTTGGATATGCCCCGACATCACAATCCTGGAATGATGGTGCCGCTCGTGTCGGTCGACGCAAGTTACCCGTCACCTGTCACACATTACTTATCGCACGTCACATGCCATTCACCACATGTCACACATCACATGCCACCTATCACATGACACACATCACACAACACCCATCACATCACGTCAATCGCTCACCGCCCAACATCCGTCACCTATCGCTCGCCACACGCTATTGGGCGGTAATGTCAGGCGCCCGTTCGGCGGCCATCTCTCATGCAAATGCCGTCCCAGTGCGCCGCGCCGCGCTGTGGGCGGACGTCGCTGACACCTGGACCCCGCGCAGCCTACAAAGCGGGACCTCATGCATGATTACACCCCACGCGCACTGCCCCACCCTCTCCCCGGCTGTGCCGGCGAAACAGTTTCGCGTGATGTGATGCGTCTTTTCGGCCGCTGGAAGTAAGGCCACACGCGTGGAATGGGAGAGGGAGGAAAAACGGCTGTGTGTGTTGGAGACTTTCCTTTAATGACGTGAGCTTGACGGGCGAACGGAAGCGCTAAATGAAAATAAAGTCGCGTTTTCTCGTTTTGGTACTTCACTGACTCATTTTCGGCCTCGGGGGGTGAGGAACTGGGGAAAGGTAGTGAACCAGGATTGGCTTCAAAGCAGGGGTACCGTTATCTTGAATAAAGTACCATAATTATCATTTGATTGATAACTTAACAGATGATACTACGTAAATAATCATTTTCTCAAACAGTAAATAAGATGAATGGTTGTTCAATATGCCTAGTCAAAACATGCGAAAACCTTCCTCATTTCGAAACAGCATCACTCTAGAATGTGTTTGAGGAGGATTTGGCTTGGTACCGCTGAACTCATCACACCTGCCGTGCCGAAATGTTCAGACATTGCCCTTCGTACCGTGATGTTGATCTGGATGCACCTGTTTGCCGGGATTCAATCTCACTATAGATGTTTGGGTATGCTGTGTTCTTATGCTTTCTACGTCAGTCTCCTCGTAATACTCTTAAACCAAGAGATTGTGACTGGATTTTTGAAATTAATGCATCATCCACCCGGCTGGCCTTTTCTAGAGTCGATAAGAGGATGCCGCAACTCGCGAATATTGGGCAATACTATGATTTCAGGTTTCTGAGGTTGATGGGAAGCCGTTGGCTGCCTCTTATCCCGCAGACAGGGGCTTGCCGCTTTTCAAACCCGCTGCTGAACACCTTAAAGAAGGTTCAAACTATCTAAGGTACAGAGGCACCTCGTCCCTCCCAACAGTAAGCTTGTTCAGCTATGACTTTGCAACTAACAGCTGATCATTTAATGACATTTCGTTCCAACACACGGTTATTCGGAGCATTCGGGCAAAAACTGCGCTGCGACGTTCAAAGGATAGCTTGATGAAGTTCACCTCGAAAGATCTTCTCATGACTTTATTAGTTTTGCGAAGCTATGCAGTCTACTAGAAGTGCACACTTGGCAGATAAATGTACGCGCTCCGAATTCTTTCGCACAACGCTCCAAGGCAGTCATGAGTTATAAAACATTGGGGTGGCATTGAAAACTTCTGGCGCGATCATAATATCGCCCACGAAATCAAGCGCACAAAAGAAGATCAAAGGCCCGGGCGGCTAGGAGGCCGAAGAAGATGGGAACATTAAAACCGTCTGTTGATAAAGTTACTTGCCTGAAATGAGAAACAAACCATCCAGATAGCAGCGGCGTTGCGACCAGCCGGCCCCTCATGTTGTTGATTTGACCAGGACATCAAAACCCCGAGAGAAACTTTTTAGACCCTGAGTCGTCCGAAGCCCAGAAAAAGACCGTAAGCACCAGCATACATTTCTTCATGCGCATATAATTCCTCTGTGAAATGTCTAATGGCCTCTCAAACGTTTTAAAGATCCAGCGGGCCTTAACCAGGCATACGGCATTACAAGGACTCCAAGGGTGCTTTGACCTCCCTTGCAAAGGTGACACAGTTGCAAGGGAGGTCAAGGAAGGTGGAGACAACCTGGCGTCTCTTAAAATGGACAGACCCAATATAATTTGTACAGAGATGGCCATGTGATACATACCGAGAGTTATAAAACAGACGACCGGGAGGGTTTAATAAACCGAAAAATATGCGGCGTCTCTCTTTTAACACCAAAGTCTTTTTAACTTTAATGAGTGAATGCTCGAGGTACAGACTAGCTTCAGTCTGCATCAAAACCAATCCTGATTTCCATAAAGGTCATGCGATAGTAAAACACCACTCGCTCTAGACACTGGGAAGGCAACTCGCAAGCTGGAGCAAATCTTATCCTATGGGCGGCCCTGAGTCGCCTGAGGTTATCCACTCCTGCTTTGTGGGTAACGGGTCACACGTAACGCGACGAAAAACCTTGGCGAGTGGCACCGGTCCAGTGCTGACCTACCCCGGTCCAGTGTTGACCTGGCGGGGCAAGTTCGCAACACGGCGCCCGGAGCCAGATAACTAATCGAAAGAACTACCTACAGAGGAGTCCCATCGTTCACCACCGTGGGTGGCGGGGGCCCTGCTAGTCCAACGAAGCCGCCGCTGCGAACCCTGTTGTCATAGCGTCCGACCGGGAAGTTGATCCAACACATTGCACTGTTTGCGCGCCACACAGATTGGCGCGCAATCACCGGCGCCACGCATCTCGTTCCAGGTAACGCCGGGTCCGGGCGTCCCGTCTCTCCACATACGATAGCAAGGCAACAGAGGACTTTCCAGGCTGTGCCATGGAAGCACAACACACACACACACACACACACACACACACACACACACACACACACACACACACACACACACACACACACACACACACACACACACACACACACACACACACACACACACACACACACACACGCACGCACGCACGCACGCACGCACGCACGCACGCACGCACGCACGCACGCACGCACGCACGCACGCACGCACGCACGCACGCACACACACACACACACACACACAACACACACACACACACACACACACACCACACACACACACACACACACACACACACACACACTGGACGGCTGCGTGTACACAGGCTCATATAGAATCAGGCGGACGCGGGGCGTTGGCAGGGAGAGTAACGAACGTATCCCCCAAAAAACAGACAAGGGCGGGAGCGATGTTCAAACATGGGGGACGGTGAACCCCAACTACCTACCGACGCGGAATACGACCCTGCCTCGATGCGAAACACCCTAGGGGAATGTGAGCGCGCAAACTAACGCGTGACGGTTCCGCACCTGGAAGAGCGAGAGGCCCTGCGTCAGGAAGCCGTACAGCCAGATCAGGGCGATGATCACGTAGCTCTTCCAGCCGCCGAAGATGCGCCCCTTCCATTTGATGCTCAGTAGGCAGACGCACCTGGAACGGAGTAACGCGTCACCCTCAGCTGGCCGGTCGAAGCGCCGTTGTGTCAGAGCCAGAGGCAGAACTTCGAGTCACTGACTAACTGAGCCACAGTTAACGCAGAGGCAGCTGAGTCAGTGCACAGGGTCGCCAGCTAACAGAGCGGTAGAGCACGTGGGCACTGACCACCGCAGAGTCGGAGCACGGCGACATCAGCGCGGAGAGCAGAGGGAAGCACAGGAGTGGACGAGCACACGAGTGGAAGAAAGCACGGCGAGGAGAGCACAGGAGTGTAAGAGCGGGACAGAACACATGACCTCGCGCCGTCACCTGGGGACAGCACAGTGTGAACCGCTGCAAACGGGTCGAGAACGCCCCGACCATAATCGCCCCCGCTGGCGCTCCGCTGGCGCTCCGCTGGCGCTCCGCTGGAGCATCCAGCTTCACGCGGCTGTACTGACCCCGAACGAGCAGAGCCGCTGCTTATGCTACCACACATGGTCGGAACACCATGCAGGTAGACCAACGGACCATCCCGCGCTATTACATCTGATCGCTAGACCATGCCGGGAGACCGCCGGGAGCGGCTGCGGCGGGTGCAGGAAGACCAACGGACCATCCCACGCTATTACATCTGATCGATAGACCATGCCGGGAGACCGCCGGGAGCGGCTGCGTCGGATGCAGGAAGACCAACGGACCATCCCACGCTATTACATCTGATCGATAGACCATGCCGGCAGACCACCGGGAGCGGCTGCGGCGGGTGCGAGCCCGAGTCCCTCGTGCGGGGCCGCGAGCACGCGATCGGGGTTCGAGGGCGTGTCTGAGGCTAATGCGCGACCTGGCACGGGTACCAGTGCCAGGTGGCGACATCCAGGTTAGACCTCCAAGTACCGGCTCTGGGGCTCTGGTGTGGACGAACGCTCTCAGGCTCGCCTCAGGCCACCGGCGAAGGAGAGGAATGAGTAAACCCAGCCCAGCCCAGAGCGTGGCCAAGCGAGCGATGGAGGCTGCTCCAAACTTGTGCCGAAGTCAGTTACCCTAGAAGTACGCGGCCCACGTGGCGTGACAGAGCCGCTGCTTGTCAACTGCACGCGGCGTCGCCGCGGCAACGCGAGCCACTGTATCCGATACTTTTGTACACTTACGCCGACAGCCTTTGCACCAGTAACCATTTTTACTGGGAATTGGTCAAGTCAAGTGGTAACGACGCCGCACTCCTCAGCGGTCACACAAATACACAACTAAGTTACTAATGTTACTAAGTAAGTTACTAAGTTACGCAGTTACTAAATACACAACTAAGTTACTAATGAATTGTGTCGTCGGGCTAAAAGAGCACATCCCAAAATATCTGAAGGTATGAACGGTCGAAACGTATCTATGTCGCTGTTACATCCAAAGAAACATTCCCTATTCCAAAAGCAAGACCCCTAACCAATCAAGTCGCAGTAAGGGTTCTTTATGACTTGATTTGACCCCTGCTGGACAAATTCATGACTACGTTACTGCCTGCGCAGCCATTTTTCTACTATATTTTGCTGTTAAGACATCCCGTCGGTATATGCGCTACACAACTGGCTCGCCGCCAATCAGGGCACACACTGAACACGCTGCACAGCGCGCGCTCACGGCAACGACGTCGAACCCCTCACAGCACGCACAGGCAACTATCCGCACCAAAAACAGGGCGATCGCCGACGCTTTTATAGCCTGAGTGAACGTCCACGTGCCCGCTGATGACCGCTTTCAAGGAGGTTTCCCCGCAATTCACGATGGAAGTGTCTCGTCACGGCTGCAAAGGCGCTCCCACTACCGCGCAGTCCCATCGGTGGCCGGTCTGCTGTCACGCTGCCAGAGCAGAGGACACAGCTGAAGTGTGCAGCAGTAAACTCACGGAGAGGTGCGGAAGATTTCCGTCGTTCGCAGCTTTGTATCAATGTTTCGACGGAGTATTCAGCGCTTGCGGGTGTTCTCTAGGAGCAGCCCACTAAACTAGTTTGGCTCTTAAATAAAAGTAAGTTATAAAAAAGCGTTCCACATTTGTATGAGTTTTAAACTGAAATAGCCACCCCGAAGACCTTTCGATGCTGTTCACAGCCCTGCCCTTCTTGAGACCTAAACCTCTCTAGTGTCTGAGCTATATGCCCGCGAAAATGGAAAGAACATTTGAGGAGAGCGTTTCAAAAACACCTTGGCACTCATGACGTCATAATAACGTCATTCAAATTTTGCCAATTCTTAAGTCACGCGGCGATCAAGATAAAAATGTAATGGCCAGTTCATTCATATCTGCCGTTCGCGAACACGATTTCCAGTCATAATGGCCGTCCATTGGCTCTCAGTCAATGTTGCGCGAGGCACGATGACGTAATCAAACAAAGACGCATCGAGGAGCATATCTACTTAACAGAGGAATTGTGGTGTCTAGAGCAGCATTTTCTGCTCGAACGTACACCACTAGTTATCAGTGAGCTGGCCTCTTCATATCTGATGTTTGCTTAAATATCTTCGAATGAGGAACATTCCCTTTGAAGGCTATACTTCACTCATTACCTTGGCAAAGCTGCGCAAAGCCTCCATACATGGTTGTGTGATTGGCAAGCCGTCTTCAAACGGCCCGAATTAATTCCCTTCAACGCGACGTCGGTGGCTGTGTACACAGACCAAAGGTGGCGGCGCCCAGTGCAGCCAGGGGCATCCCGTGCCAGACAAACGAGGCACCTCTGTTGATAAAGCGCCCGCTGCGCCACTCTAAAGCGCCCGCTGCGCCACTCATGTTTACTGACCCGAGCGTGGCGATAGCCAGCCATGACTCAAATGCCGCCACAAGCAAAGGGTTCGGCGATGAGGCGACACCCACAAAAGCACACACTCGCCCGGTGGGCACGCTATCCAAAGCGGCTCATCGCGCACTTATCAGGACCTGAGGCGGGAGTGAGCGCATCGGGGTCACGACCTCGAAGGGACGTTGAAAAAACATGGTTTCGGAGAGCGTATTTTGTGGCGAGGGAAGTCGTTACACGAGTGAGTTTTACAGTACTGGAAGTTTGCTCCCGGGATGTTATGTTGCAGCTGTTCTTGGCGTTGATTAGTGTGTGCAGCGTAAATCGGGACTCGGGAGTTTGCACAGCGGAGTTATACAGCAGCATCCACCTGTCACGCGACGTACCTTGACGTAATGCACCTGGATAGAGCGTTGTGAATTATCTAAACCAATTTGATTCTTCACAACGCTAACTTTCTCTTTCAGTGTGGTAACAACGCCCACTTGTACGTTAAACCCGACTTGACTTCAATCATCGATCTGTCCATATGATTGACGCCAATCAACAACAAGACCCAGATCCCAGAGCCGAGACCGGCATCGAACGGCAGCAAACGATCTGTATGAATGACACCACGAACCGCATTCATATGTCTGTGGCGGCTTTGAGCTCAGTCCCAGGCCGGGTGCCAAGTGGAGCCCCACGTGTGCGCTGCCTGTCTGAATGCCTCGGGATACCGCGAACCGCGCTCAAGTCTTTTCATAAGCGATATGCAAGCTTGGTTGATTTTGTTTGGTTGATTGGCTAACATGGTTGTCGGCTCGTACACTTGCAGATGACGCTTGTCGGCTGATGCAGCAAATGTACATCTTTTGACGTGTTGACCTACTGCATTTCTTCGCGCCATACGGGTCGGTGTATTTGGATCCAAAAACATCCAATGGGTTCCGAGAGCTGGAACGAAATGGCCGGTTCCGCATTCAAGGACAAATGTGTATAGTTACGACAAAGAAAGCTGACACCTCGTCAACTAGACGGGGAACACACACAATGCTCTTCTGATAAGCAAAAATTGGTATTAATGGTTTATTTACATCGAACGTTAAAGTCGGTCCATCCTCATTTGTCTGATTTGTTTGCTTGAGCTCTCCATTCAACCAGACATCCGAAATAATGTGATTAATCAATGTGAATGTTTGTTCACGTGACGGCGAGCACCGCGATTCCTGAGATGCAGCAAGAATTCAAGCGAACTGCAGGCCCAGTTATACCAGAAATAGCAGCTTAGACATCGTTCACGAGATCTGCATTCAAGGTCTCTAGCATGAGAATCTGGATCACACTGAGCATGACCTACTTCTGGCGACGAATCTGGGTCGGCTGACAGGGACGGCGACCGCTGCCACTTTTGCATTTCTGGGCCCGCGGTGGGGCATGCTATGGATGAATAGGGCAATAAACACTTCATTTTTCGCTCCGCTGATGACGGCCAACTGAGCTCGGCCACCCATTCATCTCTGCACGACACGTCATGAACGAGCTCCTTGCCTTATCGTCAACCCATTTCGTCGCACGTAACGCACACTCAAAACCCACCGGCACATGAGAAAGAAAATGAATTGCTCCCGCTCCACCATCTCGACCACGCAATGTCGCCAATCACGCATACACGCGTTCGCACCGGCGCCCATACAGTCTTTTCCTGATGTATTGCCCCTCGGGCTCACACAAAGCAGGAGTTATGTCCTGGTTGCCCCAAATCAGGAGACTAATATTTTACCGGCAACGTCGTCTTTACATCACAATCGCGTACGGATAAAGGAGTTATGGTTACGGGGGAGCCCGATGACGTGCCCTGTCGGCTTAGAGCTATTATGGCGCGGTCAGTCCCGTAACAAGCTCAGTCCGCGCTAAGAGCTGTCTACCCCGCTGCGGCGACGGGCTCACTTTGGCGCGAGCGAAAGCGTGCTGCGCCTACCTTGATACGGCCGGCGGACCGTATGGACAGGATGTATGTAATACGCACGAAGCGTGCCGATAGCGGACTGCTATCGTTGCACAAACGTTGCGCAATCCAATTTTGGCGCACGGAATGAGATGATAGATACAGTAATCTGTTTGCGCTGGCCATGACATGTCGGTTGGGTTGTGAACATATGTGCTCGAGTTGGATTCCCGTGTTTTTCGCCAAGTTGCTTCACGTACTCATACATTTCATACCTTCACTCAGATATTCGCTGTGGC